AAGAACAAGTGAATATCCATGCAATGCAGTGATATCGATGGCTCTTGGTCTGTATGGAAGCTGTGTTAAGACAAAATAAATAAAAGCCTGGAAGTTAAGATTAGACAGGGAATAAAAAAAATGCATCGAGGCCTAATAAATTTGATTTTTTTGGTGCTTGATTCTTTGCCTTTCTAAAGCGTTGATTTGTTTGCTCAGCTTTTTAGCAAATAAATCAATAAAAAATGTATTTAACAGCAGAAATAAAGTTTCTATGTTCTATAATTTACTTCTTGAGTTTTTTCGGTAGAGTCGAAAGGATGGGTCCTTCCTTTTCCCATTATGGCTTACTATCAGTAAACAAAGGAGGGTGCATGTAGACATGCATGATCAAGTGTGGAATGTAAGGGACAACCTTCAGGATAAATTAGTGCAGAGAGGGCGGGCTGTGGTAATATATTTCAGCTGTCATAACATATTGTCTTAGGAAAGGACTTGCATAACTTAACCACACAACCGACTGTTCTCATACATTTTCTTCTACAAGCCAGGAGCCAGAAAACCTTTAGTAATGAAACATGTTGAATAAACTAGAGGAAGTTTTGTTTTGGAGAAGTTAGTTTACCTAATTTGTAAGGTGGGCTATTCAGTCTTACAGGTGGGGACCTTATGTGACCTTGTTCTTGTGAAACAAAGACTTGAACATCTCAAAACGAGCAGAAACAAGCTTTGGAATTTTGCCCTGAAGCCCATTGGGGCCACAGTTCTTTAAAAGCTTTTACTACCAATGAAGCATTATCTATGCACCAAGTTAATGGTAAATCAATAAATCTGTCACATGCTTTTTGTCCACTTTGTTATTAGATATGCCTGGGGTGTTTTGTATAATATACAAAGGCAGTAAAAGGAGGTCTGTTTCAACAAGTTTCTCCTTTACCTTCCAACCCTAGCACACAATACAACTGAACATTGGTCATATTGATTATTCAGATGCATACTGTACCCTCTTTTAAGGTTTCTTAAAGTAAGTAAAGGTTGAATACTTGAGAAATGATGTTTATTTTGCAAAACATTAAATTGGAGAAATGTTTGCCAAATAGGTGATACAGAACAGAAGATCTCCAAGTAAAATGGGTCTTGAAAGATTATTTTATGCTGTGGATTTTTTTTTTAACAGAGTTGTGACACTGTTTTATAAATAAAAAGATATGCAGATAAGATTTTCTTTTATACACTTCCTTTGCCCACCACTAAGTTTTTTCACATACTGCAAAAAGTGGAAAACCCAGGGTTCCCATCTATAATGGAAAACATGAATGCATAAAAAAAACTATTTGTGAAAAACACCTGAGTGAACTTTTCTCTTTAATGATTTTTCACTTGTGCTCCAAGGGAAATTAAACAGACATCTCTACAAGAGTAACAATCAAAACCTACACATTGTATGTGTCATAAGAATAACATACCAAGATCTATGCATTAATATATCCCATTACAGAGTAAATATATGTTTTTAATCCTCTGGACTCTGCTAAGATAATAGTACATTTAAAAGAAGGAAAGACCTTTTAATGCCCTCGATGTTTCTCATTGTAAAATTTTGTTATATGCCTTTTTTTTGATGTGCAAATCCTGTTTGATCAAGACTATTCAAACTAACCACTGTTAAATTTATTTTGCAGGTGGAGCTATGAACAATTAACCTGTGGAAAGGTTTTATGGGCTGTCTGTGGGCTGGAATCTGTGCTTCTTGAGAACCTCAAAATTGCGACATTAGTTGAGAAAGAGAAGAAACTTGTAAAAAGACCTGAAATACCGATGTGACTCTGTAAGCCACAGCCTTGGATAAACAAAGAGGACAACGAATCTCTTTGTTTATTCAGTTCTGTGGCCTAGAGACGATCTGATTGAAATAAGAAGATCTGATTTAAATAAAATTGCATCAGTTCTACTGAAGATGATCAGATTAATTTGTTTTTCAAGCACCTGCTGAGATATTCGTCCTTTAATCCTGGAGATGCTCGGTAGGTGATACACCAACTTTGCAGATTTATCTGATTCAAAGTGCAAGATTCCTTCTTTATTAGAGTTTTGCCACGACTCTGGTTCTGCTGGAGCTTTCCTCCTGGTAAAAGGGAGTTTTTCCTCTCCACTGTCGCTACAAGCATGATTAGTGTGAGGAATGGCCTGCGAGTCATTGAGTCGTCGTAATCAACGGGTTTCCTCAGATAAAAAACTTTGAATAAATTTGACTGTATGATTTGGTCCTAGCTGGATTGAGTGAAGCTAGGGGGCGTGCAGGTGGCGCACTGGTTAGTGTGCACGACTAACCATTGGTCCTCGACGTGGCCGACCCTGGTTCGAATCCAACCTGTGGTCCTTTGCCGCATGTCTCTCCCCCTCTCTCATACCCCCTTTCCATGTGATGTTTATGATGTTAAGGTACCTACTGATGCTAAACAGCCACTGCTCTTCAAGTAGGATTCATCCACCCATCTTCTCCTGCTTATTCTGTCAGGGTTGTGGTGGGTCTGGTGCCTATCTCCAGCAGTCTATGGGTGACAGGCGGGTTACACCCTGGACAGGTTGCCAGTCAGTCACAGGACAACACAGAGACACACACAATGACACAAAGCCAATCAAGGTAGCAGTAATGTTGTTTTTAGGACAGTTAGAGCCAAAGTACCTGTTCCTGTTTGGCTGTGATATCATCCTGGAGACAAATATCAGCTGTGCTGCTGCCATCAGCGCCTTTGTTTATAGATGTAGGAGCTTGGCCTGTTTTTCAGTGTAGTCCTGTTTCTCTAAGTGTGACTTACAGGATGTGCTCTCTTCATCCTCTGACATGGGAGCTGGCTCGGAGCTCGTCTGCTCCTTGACGGGGCCGCCTTTTACAGTTGCTTTTTGTATCTCTGCTTCTGTCTCCATGATTCTCAGTCGGCGTCAGCAGTTGGCCGCTCAAACTGAGCCTGTTCTTCATGTTAAAAGGGAGTTCTTCCTCTCCACTGTCACTACAAGCATGCTTAATGTGAGGGATTGCCTTCGGTTCAATGAGTCGATGCAATCAGCTGGTTTTCCTTAGAAAACCTAGAATCAATCTGATTGTATGATATGGTGAACTGTAAAGTGCCTTGAGATGACGTGTTGTGAATTGCCGCTATATGAAGAAACTGAGTTTAATTGAATTAAATCCGATATTTGTTGTTTGATTATGTTTCGAGGTCTATTTAAGTTTTGATCCTATTTGCAACTTTAATGCCGTGAATACCAGAGCTCTAAAACTATTCAATTGCTCATGCAGAAATCCTGGTCATTTCAACCTATATCATCCTTTCTGAAATTTTAATTTTGAATTAAAGTACACTGTATTTTTCTTATGTTCTCTCTACCAACAGTGAGCATAAAATGAAAAAAAAAAAAAAAAACTGGGGCATAAAACTGCTTTGAAGAATTCATTTTTTTTAGTTTTGCTAAAGTTCAGTGAGGAATTTTTTAACATGTCTACTTACCACAGGTGTCAGTAAAGAATGTGAGCACTTTTGACACCTAGATCTACCCCCATTGCCAAAAGGCATCATTTCTTTTCTGTTACCTGAAACCCAAGAAATATTTTGGGTTCAACACAAGTGGCACAGAGGTCTGTTTCATTAAGCAGGTTTAAGATTCAAATTTCCAACTCTAAATTGATCTCACCTAAAGTCGGGAAAACTGGGTGTTCGGTTTCACAACGGCTGCTATTAATTATTTCAATCAATTTTAACTTGATCCACTCAGAGTTAAGCGCGTGCGAAACAAGTATGAAAAGCCATTATCAGTGGAGCACAAATTTGACGAGTCACCATGACAACAGGCAACAAGAAGTGTCTATTTCACCCCACTGGAACTGAAGATAATGCAGAAATGCAAAAAAAAAAAAAAACATAAAAAAGGAGAATGTGTTAAAAAGACAGATAATAGCGCTACAAAGGAGAGGAAGATGGCGAGAGAGAAGATTGGTGCTCAGGTTAATGTGTCATTTTATATGAAGTGTGCTATGGCAGGCCGTTTTTACATTTATTAAAAGCACCCCTCTCTGTTGTTCCATTTCTAGATCACTAAAATAAGATTCATCCTGATCAGAATCACATTCTAAGACCTAACTATAATAATATATTTACTAAATTACATTTTTGTAGCAGAAACTGAATTTTAGAAAGTAACAAAACAAAACTATACTAGTTAGAATTCAGCTTTATATGTCTAGAAATGTTTTACACATTTTAAGAGGCCATTCTGACATTTATCAGCTTGACTGAAAATGTAATTATGTCTGGAAAAAAAAAGTCATATTTAAAAAAAAATACAAATGTTGACCAGTAATATTAGGAATATGGAGATCTGAAATTAATTTCTAGACATCCAGAAAGTTTATTCTAGATGTGGAGAATGTAATTTTGTTTGAAATGGTCATTTAGACAAAGAAAATTTTTTTTTTTTCCAGATAACAGGGATACATATTCAGTAAAACTAGTACATATCAAAACGGCTTGCCATAGTTTTGTTACCGTGGAAATATTATGGGATTACTTCTTGAATGGTAGATATATATCTATTTAGGTGAAATCTTCTGGCAGCAGGTGAAAAGCAAGTCTAAAAATCTTCTAATATATAGAACCTGTGGATCATCATGCATCCCTCCTCATGTTGATTCAGTCTTCTTTTACACAGTTAAGTGTCTGTTTGCAGACAAATGGCCGTTATAAGCAGCTATCAGTCCTATAGAATGAATTCACATTGAACCAGTAGGCTCATTTGGTTATTATCGAGT